ATCACTTGAATTTCAATTTTTGCTACAACTTAGCCATTTTGCCACGAAATGCCTCATTTTATCTGTAAAATATTGGGAAGACACTGACTATTAAATTAAATAAGGCTCAGCCTTGCTACACGAGCAACACAACGGGCACTCCGAGTGCCGGTCGAGCTTAACACTCGGTTTAGGGCCCCCACACGCCGAGCACAAAGACTTGCGAGCGGACATGCCGATCGAGACTACAATAAACAAAGGATATCTTGTCAAGTTGAAAATAAATCCAAGGCAAAATAAGAACAGAATAGCTTGAAAAGACTGCTAATAATTTCAAAGGCTAGAGTGTATCCAACTTCGAACAACGTCGAAAAGGGAATGAGGACGTTTGTTAAGGAGATGGTTCGCACATGGCGCCTTGGGTCGGACTGTTCCATTTTTTTCGAAGGGGTGTTCCGTTTTGGGAACAATGGCAATTATCCAGGTAAGTATTCACGAAATAGACTAAATAATCTTTTAAATAATCTTTTGCCATTTAGTCTCTCCTTGGCTGTGGCAGTTGTTATTACTGTATGTTTTCCTTTTCTTTATACTTCTATCATTTGTATTGTATTTGTATGTCTGAATTATTACACAGTAAAAATAAAATTGACAAAATATTTACTATTTATTTCTGTTCAGATATAGAAATGATATTTAGACATCATATGTTGCCTTTTTATCTTGAAACAGTATCAAAAGCATCAAAAATATCTTACCATTTGATGCAGTAACTTTTCCTGGATTTCTTCATTTCCACATGACTCATAATTAACAGGGCATGCAAGTTCTTTTTCAATGTAACTTAACCACTGCTTTAAGTTAGCCATGTTGGAGTCCAGTTGCTGTACAGCTGTTAGGGTCTCTTGTAGTTTCTTCACCCTATGATTAAAGACATAATAAATGTTACAACAGGGTTCTCCATTTACAAAGCAATAGCTTAGTGTAATAATTTGATTGGTTGATTATAGGTCACATGAGATTAAATTAATAGAACTCCATTCAACAGCAAATAGTACATTCCATGGCTGTCTGTATTAAATTGTTACGCCCCCTAATCATTTCATTTTTGTACAGTGATATCAAAGTTTCGTTCGGTAAAAGATGCAATGTTTTATTCAATCTTTGACCTCATGAAATCTCATTCCAGTACTATAAACATTCATTACTAGAGTATTTAAATACTGTATTCATTACCAAAGTATTATGTTATAGGCCTACATACAGAAACACTGTTTAGCTTCTATATTGAAGATCTCATTATCACATTTAAACTTTGGCCTAGATTTCTTTCTGATATTTATTATATTTCTCATGGGGTTTGGGACAACATTAAGTATCAGCATAATATTAATATGATCAACAAATTCAAATACTAAGTATGAGTAGTTAATGGTGGGGATGTGTGGAATGCTAACCAGGGGGTGGTGTCAAGGAACGGTTTTATAAATTACACAAATACAACCCCCGACGCAGCCGGCAGCGAACCCTGAGATCGAGTGGCAGCCTGAGCTGCCCAATCCAGAGCTGCCGCAAACTTAGTCAGGGGCCAGCGCGCACAAATCTCGCAAGGCTCAGCCTTGCTACACGAGCGACACAACGGGCACTCCGAGTGCCGGTCGAGCTTAACACTCGGTTTGGGGCCCCCACACGCCGAGCACAAAGACTTGCTAGCGGACATGTCGATCGAGACTACAATAAAAAAAGGATATCTTGTCAAGTTGAAAATAAACCCAAGGCAAAAATAAGAACAGAATTGCTTGAAAAGACTGCTAGTAATTTCCAAAGACTAGAATGTATCCAACTTCGAACAACGTCGAAAAGGGAATGAGGACGTTTGTTAGGGAGACGGTTCGCACGTGGAGCCTTGGGTCGGACTGTTCCATTTTTTTCGAAGGGGTGTTCCGTTTTGAGAACAATGGCAATTAGTCGGTTATCCAGGTAAGTATTCACGAAATAGACTTTAATATTTACTCAAATATACATCATATAAAATAATATAAAATACATAAATGGCTACATATTAAATGCCTAGAACAATTGCTAAAACCAAGAAAATGCTGGCAGAATCCTAGAAACTATAAAAACAATTGAAATGAATAAAACAAAAATAAGATACTGTATATAGGCCTCAGTATCAATTGTCCATTAGAAAAGAAAGAGTCCAAATTTAAATTAATTATTGACTGATGAATAAAAGTGTCATTAATCCATATAATGGCAGTTTCTTCAATAAGTATATAGCAAAAAGTGGCAAATTCTGGGGTGAAACTTCAAGTGAATGTGGTCTCATACTTTTAAACTTTCGGAATCTCCAGTCTCACAGATACAATATATTTAAAAAAAATAAAAACGCTGAGGCTAAAATTGCTTAAAAATAAGACCAAATTAAGACTGAGATAAAATGTCAAAAGAGGTTTGAATGAAAAACCAACAAGTCATGCTAGTCACATATAGTAAAGTATTGTTTTAAAAGGTTATAGGCCTACAGTACAGTAATATACTGCTGTATTAATAATTTTCTTAATCCTATCTTTGTTAAGTTTAAAATAAGAACAAATAAGAACATATTGAGCCTAAAATTCGCAAAAAAAAAAAAAACAACACTGAGCCTGTGCAAACCTTATGGGTTCTTATAAAAAGATGTGTATACATATGAACCATATTATGAAAATACATCAACACGAACCTGCTTTCAAAAAATATGATCATAGTATGATTGTTAGATATAATCAAGGGAATGACAGTCAGAATGGTGAGGCCACCACAACTGTGTTTAAGGGCATCAACCAGCAGAGAAAAACCACATACAATTAAAAGGTGTGGCTCATTGGTCAATAAATACACAACAGAGTAAAGCAAAACACTTTTAATACACAATGCTGCTACTATCTAGAAACGTACATTATTTATATAAAATAAACAAGAAATTAGGCCTATACAGTAGTTTACATATTTTACCTACTGTTTCATTTAAGAAGTTTCAAATGGTGCTTACATAAACAAATCGATTCTATGTCTGCGTTCTATATTTGATAATTTTCGTAGAGGTTATATACTACTTATAAAGATAAAATAATAGAGGAAATTAAGCACTTTAATGCATATTTAAGCTCTAAATACATACCTTTTAAGTATATTAAATGCTTACTACTTACTGTACTATTAGTCTAGATGCTTTACATTCCTGAGCCCTCCCACCATCAATTATACATCAATTTTGCACATTCTTTGCAACAAAATACTACAATTGCATAATGCACCATACCTTGGCTGTATTACATATTCAATAACAGCAGCAGACGACATTGCATCTAAGTTGGAACTATTCAATGGAAAGCCTGCTAGATAGTCGACATCTTGTGAAGACAGTTTCTGCCCAAGTCTGTGGAGTATGTTAGAAAACATACCCAGCCAGTAACAAGACACCTTCTTTACTGGCACCCAGCTGCTAATCACTGACCAATTTTTTGCCTTTCTCAGGTCAAGGCACAGTACAGTAAATCACAAATATGTGGATAACAATCCATGGAATGCCTTACTATTGTTCCTCACTCTGACCAGAAATGATGAAAACAAACTCATTCAAATCGATGTTCTCTCATGTGCCAAGAAAATCCAAAACAAATCAACCATCAAGATAACTTCAGTCATCAATCACACAACAAATATTTTTTTTAGGCCTTCTATGATTGATTTAACACCATCTGTCTTGTCCCACTCAATTGCTTGATCATCATTTGTAAACAGTTGTGTTATGGTGACAAGCATGAGAGAGGCCTAAACAGTAGTCAGTGTCCCCTTGGTAGAGTTGTACAGAAATAAGTTATCAGTTTAACTACTAAGGTCCATTTCTGTTTTCTCTTTTGGTTCTATTCAATCTGTTCTAGAGTGGACACTAAATTCATTCTTTAGAATTTACATGAGAATGGCAAGTAGGTATAGAATGCATAAGCTTTCCTGGAGAAATGGTCATTGTGAGGCATGCCTATGTGTTGTCTTCTTTTGATTTCATTTTTCATCCAAGTAGGTAACTACAATATTAAGTTTCAAGCAAATGGAAATTTTGATTTGTATCTAACTTCAAGCGGCTTCTTAAGAAATTTAGATCAGTAGTAAAACTTGATCTTAAAACTGAGGCTTTGTTACATAACTTTTGGTATTGCAAAATCTGCATAGTTTGTTTACACTAACTTGGTTACCTTATGAACTGAGCACTTGAATTGAACAAGTGTGATAATTAAGCATTCCACCAATATCAAACCATGGACATTTGACCTTACCATGGTCAAACCCATTCAAATAAACAAATAGTTGCATTGCCTAACCAGAGGTAAATCTTGAAATCTGAGTCTCCAGCATTTTTTTTACTGGGGCCTAGGATTTGTTGCCAACCATGATAAAAGGGAAGGGTTGGAAGGATGCCCTTTTATATCATTAGATTACTATATTTCCAATCATTGTAATGTTTGGAAGAAGCTGGAGTTTGAATAGATGGATAAACACAATACAATTACTTTCTTATAATACAGTATTTTTTTAAATCCCTTCAGAATTTTAATACTGTAAGCCATAGTGGTATGTCAAAATAAAAGTATTTTTTTCAAAAATTATGCAACAATATAGAAAATGGGAGTGCAAAATTATATTACAGATAAAATTTGACAAGGTGATTAACATCTACTTATTATTGTCTGCATTTCAAATGAACAAAAAAACTCATCCCAAGGATATATACAAGTAATGATAATAATACTTGTTCTTTTTATTATACTGCAGTTTTGCAATGAAGGTCAAAATAGACAAGTGTAAATGTCACTTCAATAGCAAGTTTGTATGTCATGGCTGCACTACTATGACTGATAACTTATCATAAATTTATGTGGACAGCTGGTAGCCCTTTGAAGTGCTTTATCATTAAGAAATCTCTTGAGATCAAAGAGGGAGGTAAGCATTTGAAGTAGGTTTTATAAATCATCTTGAAAGTTCCTTGATATCCACACATCCAATCATACACTCAGTCAATATTGTTACAGTCACAGTAATTTCATATAGGCCTACATTTATCTATCAATTTCTTCTTACATAAAGACACTATTCAGTAGCAAAGTACTATTTTCCCACACAGAATACACCAACCCGTCTTCGGCAAATACTGTAATAAATAAATCAGCAAGTGTTTGGCAATTAGGTTTAGCTAATTAATAGACCACACAATCCTGAAAGTGATCTTTAGTCCAAATTTATGTTACTTCCCTTACATAATTTATGTAGGCCTAAGGCTATTGCATATTTATCAATACTACTACCAGAGTTGCCAAGCAGCCAACTAGAACAGTGTCACCACAAAGCCTTCTTAT